TTGACACCAAATTGCAAAACGGTTTAGTAGGTGTTGATTTTCAGATTCTCGGCCGGTTATTACAGCTGCGTCGTCAGCGAACTGGAACCAATGAATTGGGTTGAGAAGTTTATAAGAAAAACCAAACTGTTGATATTTCTCCGATTTTATGTGCTGGATAAAAGTATTAAAGCATAGGTTAAATAGTAATGGACTGAGGCAATCTCCCTGCAAAACTCCACGACCTACTTCTACAAATGGGGTGTTAAAATCAGATGTGATGATTGATGTTTTAAAGTTTGTGTAAAGGCTTTTAAAACTCTTTCTCGACCGGCTACATTTTTCACGACAAGCGACATTTTGATTCAATTGTTTTATAACGTAAATATTTCAGCGCGTATTCACCCCCCTTTAAAACAAAGAACACCATTGAAATCCTAACAAAATAACCTTTTCATCGGGGGGTTCAATGCCGCCAAAACAAATACACAAACCGAAACAATCGTATATTTACTCACCGCTTGGCCAAACATTCTGTATTTTCATATGGAGAAAAAGTTGAATATCTTCTAAAGGCATCTAAACTCTTCAGAATTCGCCACAAGTTAATATGAGTGAAATATTCCTTGTATTCAAGCGCTTTTATGTAGAAAGTTTCGTTTGAATACGGCGAGTAGAAATGTTTATTTTGAATTTTTCAAAATATCGGGTTTCATCGGGTTTTTTACTTGCACGCGCGTGCTGCACGTAAAATTGGCCAATAAGGAGTAACCCGTAGCCCAATGCACGTGAAAATCATGCTGCAGATGTAATTTGACCTATAGAATCGATTGCCGACGTTTTCCGAGCGCTAGGATGTAAACACGCGATGTTTTCGCAAATCTAAAGTGTATTTCCGGTCGAAAATATCCCGCTGACTTCACTAGTATCACAACAGATTGAAATACCGAAATAAAAGACGAAAGACTAATCCTACAAGCTTGAAAATAACACTTTAAATAGTGTTTTAGATTCTGGTTCGAATAAGACTATAGCGAAAACGATATCTTCAAAGGGGCCGAAGTTATGTTCGGCGAAAAGTATGGATAGTTTACATTGTTCGAGACAATTGATTAATATAATGAAATATGACACCGCATGACCTCTCAAAAGGTCATAAATAGTTATACAATTTCACTAAAACTATATTTGAATAAAACTATCGATAGGAATTAGGAGATATTGTATCACTGAATCGAATGGTGGTATTTTCATCTACATAGCATGCACCAAACCGAAGATATGAATCGGCGAAGTCATAGACCGTGCCATAGATCGTGCACGGTCTACGTTTATAGGGACCCGCTGAGAAAGAGTTAAATCATGAGTTGAATATGTTGAGGTATGTGATGATAGTCAAGAGCAGATTGGATTAAATTGTGATGTACTTCACCAAACGCATTCTTGAGATCAAGAAGGGTTATGACGAGAGATCGCTGTCTTATTCGTGCTTGATTGATTATATAAGCCATTTGTGCTGTATGTTCAAAAAAAATCCCCGATATATGAGGGGTGAAGCCCTTTTGAATTTCGTGCTCGATAAAGTTATTGGCGAGTAGGTAAGAGAACATTGCATTACGGAGACTTGAAGTGAATACTTTCAGTGGTACGGATTGAAGAGTTATTGGACGGAAGTTCTCGGGGAGATTAGCATCATTTTTCTTGTGGATTAATATGGTACAAGCTTTCTTCCATTCGTCAGGTACAGATCCAGAAAGCCAGACTGCTTGAATTAGTTCGGTTAAATATGTTCGGAGGTATGGGCATCGCTTAAAACGTATAATGGAGATTTGATCTAGAGGACAAGGTGAGCGAGATGTTTTCATTTTACGAATAATATTTGTTATTTGTCGGTAAGTTGGAGGTTCAAGGTCAAATTTAATAATGGGATCGTGTAACATTGGAATCCAACTTGGATTTTGAAATATTTTGTTTGGGTTGACCTTAGTCAAGACTGTCTTAAAGTACTTTAAACAGTCGTCCATATTGAAGGCAGGGAGAATCGATTCGCTGCAATTTATGACTTTCTTGACATATCCCCAGAAATTACGTTCAAAGTATTTATCGTGGTTAAACGACTCATTGGTACTATTATGCATGTTATCATTAGTTGTGTCAGATTTCAGCTTATTTCGCACGAGACGAGAGACATATTTAATTTCGGCAAGATCAGAGTTGGGTAATTTAAGTAGTTTCAATGCTTTCTTCAAGTCCTTTATGCTGTGATTCTTGTATTTATCATTGAGTAATTTATCCGGCAGACGTTCCACAAACCCAAAGTTTCCAGCAAAGTAGGTGTAAATGGTGTCATTTAGTAGTTTAATTGATGTATTTAACATTGATGTATTTAATTGATGTATTAGACATTAGTGAAAATTTGAAATGTTCGTTAGCCGTTAACCATTCTGAATTGGTTTTAGGAAGATTTATACCTTTTTTTAACTCAGGATATTCTTCCTCCTGATTAGTATTGTAGACTGAGGTGGTGTCAATATCATCTAGGTCTCCAGCACAGTTGTTGTTGCTTTCTTC